GCCCCCCCCCCCCCCCATTCCATTCTCGGATCTGGCACTTTTCTTTCAGCTTTCGCTCTGGCTTTCATCGTGGCTCAAGTAGAGCATCTTGGACCAGTTTTGGAAATATTTGCAATTGCTCGATCGGATCTCAACTACCTGCAACATATAGTTCGTCGATTATCTCGACAAATGTTCTTTCTATTCGCATCGTTCGACTCCGATTGGATAAGCAATTTTTCATTAATTTATAACGGATAATTTTTAATTATAAAGGCAACTCCAACGAATATCGATAATTTGATAATATCAAGCGCCTTATGGAAACGCGTTATATCGGCTTTAAACTACATCGCTCAGAAAGATAATCGATCCTTTCATCCCCCGCGATTCATTTGTTTTCGAAGCACGAAACGAGCATGAATTAGGACGAATAAAGATACGGAGATTTAAATAATACCGATTAGGATTGACGCGCGGAGCGGAATAAAAATGTTATCGCACGGCATCGATTTGCCATATCGCGGATTTTCCAAAATAATGCCCCTTGATAGCACATACAACACCGCATGCGCGATGTATTCGATCGATTGGCCGACGATCATTGCGCGTTATGCAACCGATACACGAGTTTATCACGTTTTGGGGGGTGTCTGACGAAGGCACCGGAGATATTACGAATTGTCGACCATCGGTAAACGCTCGTACGTGAATTTGTCAATAACTTTAATAATAAAAGGGGCATAATTAAGCGTGTAGAGTGTAGATCAGAATGCGAAAAGGGAAAGAATGGGCTCTGACCAGACGTTGCACTTGTGAGTCGGATTCATGGGCGAGCCCTTGGGGCAGTTGAAGGCCCTGGAGAAGTCCTCGCTGTTGGAGAGAGGTCCGAGTACTCGGACGGGGCCCGGTGAGTGCACGCTACTGCGTATCTTCGTTAACGCGTCCTCCGGGCGCATCGAGCCGCACCAGATCTGCGCGTAGTTCAAGAAGAAGAGCTGGTCGTGCGTGAGATTCACGCCCGGTAAAAGCGGCTCCTCCCCGTGGCTCGCCACCCACTTCTTGTAGGCCTATAATCAAGTGCGAGAGGGCTGTCTGTGATGAATGTATATGTAGAGGCGCTTCCCGGGGTAGGGGATTGGCTTGTGCGATTGTCGAGAGTGTGAGATGAGGATTTGACAGAAATTTGTCCGCATTGTCGTATAGGGAAGTATTCATATTATTTTTAAACGAACTTTCGAGGTAACGAATGCTTATCAAATATTATTTTTCTTATTATTATGAAATTGTCATTAAATGCTTTGCCGTTTAATAATAACTTAATAAATAATGTGCCAATAATGTTATCTTAGTCTGGAAATTATGGACTTGGTAAAACGAACCTTTTCCATTCGATTTGAGTACAAGATTCTTTGCTTTCTATTTTAATGTTGTCGTAGGTCATATCTATGACATATCGTCATAGGTAAAATATATGTAGATTGAAATAGAAAATAATATCGATAAACATAACGAGAAGCTTTGATTTTTTTATTTAAAAAGGTGGTCGAGCATTATAAGTTTTTTTTTTGTTTTTGTTTTTTTTTTTGTTTTGTTTTGGTTTTGTTTTGTTTTAATTCAGTTGACAAAAGTCGACATAATAACACCAAGATGAATACATTCTACGAGACAGCAAAATTTCATAATTTTTCATGATTCAGTGAATAAATAAATTTTATGATTTATGTAACATAGTCTAAAAAAAAAAAAACATATTCTGGCCTTCGGTATAACTTTAACGTTAGCGTAATGCTCTTTTTGGATTTTGAGAGAGCGAGCGAGAAAAAATGGTAGTTTGAGGAGAGGTGGTAAGAAGGTAGGTAAAGACAAACCCGAAAGGACTGCTTGAGGCCGCCGTTATCAGCAATATTCTCGCCCTGGGTCATCCTACCGTTGACGTACAAGTCGACCTCCTGGACCTTGTACCTGGAGTACTGGTCGACAATACATTGTGCCCGCTCGCGGAACGCCCGCACAGTTGCATTGTTCCACCATTGCATCATGTTGCCGTCCTTGTCGAACTGTCGGCCCTTGTCGTCGAAGCCGTGGGTAATCTCGTGCCCGATTACCACGCCAATGCCCCCGTAATTCAACGACTTTGGAAAATGTTGGGAGTAGAATAGCGGCTGCAGTATTCCGGCGGGGAATACTGTCAACAGTAGTTCGTTATATATTATTCATTATTTTTTCGAGGATAGTGCATAGTGCCTCGGTCGAGGAATCAATTAGCTACTAACATCATCCCCATAACCTTATGGCATCTATTATCCCGGTCTTCTCTACTCCACTTTCCTCTCGGACCGTACTCATCTAATCCAAAGAGTCTCTCATAATTCCACATCATTTTCATTATCATTAACACCTTACTGACATTATTAGGTAAAATTAAATTCCCATATAGAAGAATAATGGCTATTACAATCTTATTATTATAATTAATTGTTTGTATATAGTAGATAAAGAATGGAATAATCATTATATGTAAGCTTAATGTAAATTTATAAAGTTAATATACATTTATAATTCTGCAGAGTTCCATTCGAATTTTTAGAAATGCGCAGTTCACATAAGCTATTTTATAGAATATCACTGTCCAAACTTTTTTCAAAAATTTTGTTCCCTTCTTATATTCAACGATTATGTACTTGATTCGAATTTCCAATTTAAATTTATAATTGCTTTTTTATACAAAATTTTACATTTTTTTATATAATTATTATACTTTTATAATTATTATCTATAATCAAGCTCAGATGTAATTTTTAACGTTTAAATAAAACTCATTTTATTTAGGTTTTACTACGTCAGTAATTAATAAGAGTATATTTTGCTTTTGGCTCGATTAATGTAAAATTCTCCATATAAGATAAGCGCGAATGTAAATTCCCTTGCCGTCTACATACACGCTAAGACTCTACACATCTATCAATAATACATACAAAAGAATAAAACAGAGAGAGAGAGAGAGAGAGAAAATTGCATGATTATCACTCATATTTATGGACTATAACTAGATGTATAGAGATCGTTGAATTCGATAAAAATTTATGTATTACAATTCATTCGTTTCGACATATAAAGTTTTTTTTTTCTAAACTACGGACCAATACATTTTTGCTTTCATGCATTTATCTATTTTATTAGCCGTAGTTGGCAGTTTTTATCGACTATCGAAGAATTCAGAAGTATGCATTAATAGAAATTGATGGATAATCATTATTTTTAAACATTTCTCATTCTTTATTTTATTTATATGCATTAATTAATAAATTTATAATAAACAAATTGAATTTATAACAAAAAAGTTATGAACTTCGATAAATATAAAATGTCTGAAAATTATAATTTAAATTGAAGTATATACTTTGTTCTAGTAAAATTTGCAATTTAATCAATTTTCTACATTCAATCGTATTTTGTTATAAAAGTTTTAACATTTTTATATTCATATATATATATATATATATATATATATATATATATATATATATATACATATATTAAAAAGAAAAAGAAAAGAATAAATAATTCCGTAAAAAAGCAAAATTCATATATTTGTATTACTTGATTTGTCGGAGTTATGACTATTTATCAATTATGAAACAATATTTATTTAAAAAAATCGTATTTAATCACCCGTTTTCTTATTTAAAAATAACGTTTTAAATAAAAATTTGTTCATTGTTTTATTTACCTATTAAATAATCGATTTTTTAATATATGTATATGTGCGTGTGCGTGTGTGTGGATTTAATACTATTTTAATTTAAAAATTACTGCCCATAAGAATATAATAAGTATTTCAGAAATACGTGTACGAATGGCTTCTAAAGAAATTAATAAAATGAGGAATTTATATTGAATCGTAATTTAATAATAAAATAAGAATCAGACGTTAATAATTGAATTAGAGCACAGAATTTTCATTATCTCTCCTTTATTTCATAATGCAGTAGAAAAGTCTGTCGTTTTTGCAAAATTGTATATCGATCATTTATTTTATGATACTGTTAATAATAATAGTATTAGTAGTAGTGATGGACAGAAATTAAATTGCCATAAACTTATGTATATGTACGTAAATCTACCGTTATGAGAATTCAGCTTTATGAAATCAATAAATCTTTATAAGATATTTATATGTAGGACTTTATGGTCGCATATTACTTTGGAAAAACATTTATTTACAAAAGAATTTTTAACTTCAGAAATGATAGAATTGTGTAGCGTTTAATAAACGTTATCAGACATGTGTGTGTGTGTGTTATTCGAATGACTGTTTCAAATGTGTAAGAACGTTGAACAAACTCGACATGCAGTAGTAACCACGTTCAAGGCTATTGTTCAAATTTAGAAGTAAGTTTTGAATCATAAAGAGTACGTCGAAATTGCAAAATCAATGTTGATAAGTATGAAAATTAGCCAACAATATCCTTAAAATTCGCTCTAATATTGTTCGATTAATCATCGATTAAAATTTATGTCTTACATCGTACCAATGTCATTTTTGTTGGGATTATAGAAAGCGTTGACAACTGCAGGTTCCGTTGACCATTTGTCCTTGTCCACTGGTTGCCGAAGTTTTTGTAAATTATGATAAGCGTCGTACTTTAAGACAGCAAATACATTCTGCAGGAATCGATCTTCAGTAATATTGAGCTATGGCAGATTGTTCAAAAGTGTATGAATAATTTGGCATATTTGGCTATTTGTATAAAATTTTTATATTCAAACTTTTCCACGCGACGGCACATTTCAAGTCGCTACTTGGTACTACCAATCTATCTTGAATATCGACTGATTCAACATTTAATGTAACAGTCAAGTTGAGCATGGATGACCTTAGAAGATGCAAGGTATCTCCTCCAATCGAATAACGGCATCGATACAAAAAAAAAAAAAAAGAAAAAAAAAAATGGTGGACTTTAAAGCCGATGATCCACCAAAATAAAATAAAAAAAAAATCAAGGTAGATAAATTTTTGAATAAACAATATAAGCAGCGACAATTGAAAATAATGTTAAATACAGTATAGATTAAAAGAAAATAACTCTTTGAGGAACTCGGGATAACCGATGCGCTCGTTCATCGAGTCGGCCTTGCTCTTCGCTACGGCCCTCGTCTCATCGTCCATCCAGTGATTTTCCGCGAGTAGCTCGTTAAAGGCTTCGCGCAGCGTGTGAATCATCTCCAGCGCCGTCTCCTAGAGAAAATAATTAATCTTGTATTTAAAGTCATTTCTAAAAGATAAAGGGAAGAAATTATTTTATGAGAGTTGTGGCAGAAATTTATTCGATCGAGTAATTAGCCGATAAGCACTACACAGCACGAGGAACAGTAATTGCCGTCGTCGGTAATTCTTCGCGTGGCTTGGCTGGAGAAAGTTTGAAGCTACGATATTAATTGCGATACTTCGATCCGTTCGAACTTTCTTAGAATTTCAAAATCGCACCTCTTAATTTAATGTTTAATATTTATTTTTATTTTCTTTGTTAAAAATATTTCAACATCACAGAAATAATAATGAAAGAGGAGCGATTCTTTGAGCTTCGTTTAACAATTATTTTTCCATTATCACGATCATGGTGATTACAAATTTCGATATTGAAATCGATCGATCATTTTTAAAATTCGTTTAGCATTTACGAAATTATAGTGCGATAGGAAGGAGCTTATGTCTTATAATAAAAAATTTTCTATCTTAAAATTCATCAAAAATTATACCGCCAGACTATTCGCTCATTGACATTATAAAATGATTTTTGCCCCATAAATTGTGATGGTGGATTTTTTCACGACTCATGACAATGCAAATACAATTACTCTCGACCTTTTTCTAGAGGGACCATACGATACAATTACCCACGTCCATTACGACGCGTTCTTTACAAAGCTCATAAAGCAATATATTATGCCGAACATCTCCTTATTCATTTATCCTCTTTGGCTATATTAGCTAATTGAGCGAGTAGGGCAGCAAATTTATCGGCGGAGCAATGATCCATTCCCAATAGCGACATAAGCCCTACACAGTCGTGCAACCGGAGCTGAATCCAATGTACGACGATGTAAGGATTTGGCGCGGAAAATGTTAATGAATTCGTCGTACGACAACGCGACAACACCTACCTTACTCTCGTGATTGAAATTCTCCTGTATGAAGAGAGCACCGACGGCCATCCCGAGCTTCTTGTTCGTCCACTCGACGCACCGGGACCAGCGCACGCGCTCGCTCAAGATCCCCAGGAGGATCTTACGAAATTCTATGCGCTTCTGCTGGTAGTCGTCGATCATGTGTGGCATTATCGACATCACCAGCCGCCAGAGTATGTAATTGTGGAGCGTCCTGCATTAAGAATACGAGTCCAGTCGTTCTCTGCTCACTCACTCAAGCCCTTCATTTAAATACATAATCGAGCCGCCAAATTTTGCAACTTTTGTCTAACTGCCTCTGGCCATTTTTCATCAATGTCACTCTATCGTAGATGCGATAGACGCGCCCGACGGGCATTATCAAATATTCTATTTATCTATTCATTTCCATCGTGCGTTTCAATTTCTTGGCTCGTATAATTCATTCATTGGTGCAGTAGTACGCGGCAATAGTTCTAATCAATAGTGCAACATCGGCATTGTAAATGTCGTAAAGTTGGATCGATAAAACAATGTTTATGTAGTATGTAGATTTTCTAACGATTTATTGTAATTTTTTTTTTTTTTTTTATTTTTTTTTATTTATTTATTTTTTTTTATCTAATTTACAATTGTTGTTTATCGTTTTATTTTTAATATTTACCAATGTGTAAATATGCTACTTATTCCACGTATAAAGAAAGTGCGCGTCACGATATTTACTTCAAGTATAAAATAATACAGCATTAGACTTTAGACTTTGCATACAATTTTCATTTTGAAAATATTATAGCCAGCATTTTAATAGAAATATCTCTTTAATAGAAAAGCTCGATATGCTAAATATCTATAGAATTGCCCGCGTGAATTTCAATTTTTATCAAATTTTTCATTTAATTTTGTGCTGTTATTAATTGTAACAAATATTTGTAAAAATTGATAAACTTTGAGTTTGCAAAGTACATAGGCAATTTAAAAATAATTTCATTAATAACTATTAATAACTACAGTAAAGGGGATGAAAATTACATAAATTTAAGATCATTGTTTGTTAGATTTCATCGGATCACGAGACAAGATTGATTTTTCACCAAACATTGTAATTGTAAAATTAATAGAGAAACTTGAAAATACATATAATAGAAAATCTTTTATTTGAAAAGAGAAAATAACTTTACTTGAGTAACCTTCATGAGCAATTCTTAAGATTCCTACGATTATTATTCTCGTGTTATTGATAAGCTTATAAACGAGTTAATTGGAGTGTCGGAGATAGAAATTTCGTACCCTTAATGCAATATCTTCAAGAAAATTAATCAAGAAAGAAAAATCTTATTAAAAAATTCTATCTCTTTATCTAATGCCTATCTTATCACTATTTAAAATCTGCAACAATTCATATCCAAATGTTTCTCTATACGACGCCTTAATCCACTCTTAAATCATTCAATTTAATTTCGACTCTTACGAAAGCAAATATATTTTCAGAGATATTGCTCTTTCTCGGAGTATCTCGCTTCATTCCTTTCTTAATATTAATCATTCTTTGCTTATATTTTCTTTTTTCTCTTTAATTTTGTCTCTTCTCTGAACTTTTCTTGATTATGGTTGTGGTTATTGGCTACATCATATCGATAAACAATTATTCTATTATTCATTGAATATCTAATCATTATCAAAGACCGCTACGCTACTGCTTGGTAGTTACGCACGCACGCATATGTATAATTCCTAATTTTTTAAATGTTTTTCTTAGCTTCTCTTAGCTTTTATTTAAAATTTATTACATATTCTTTAACCATCCATTTGTTTCAATTACAGGTTTGAATTACAAATAGTTATTTTTAATTGATAGCACTTATGCATTACCAATCGATCATTAGCCATGATAGTGTCAAACGCAAATAATAATTAATCCAGCTAAATAATCCATATAAATCAATGAAATATATCTAAAACTTGAATAGCTAAGCCATGGATCTGGATATGCGAATCTTTCAAAAGGCTTCGATTATATTAATTTAAATTATTAATATATGATGTAACGTAAGATTTATCGTTATTGCAGTTATTAATTATTTATCTAAAAATAATGGGATGCCTAATAGATTTCTCATTTCGTTAAATTTCTCATTAAATTATCTCATGCGACTCGGTTAAACGACAATTTGCACGTCAATTAAAATGTATAGTAAATCAAATTGACGTTGGAGAGGGACAAAAAAGAGGGGAAAAATTCTTATCGATAGAAAATTGAAATGAATTTTTCAATATACATAAAATGTAGGTTACATTATGAAGAAGAAAAAAAAAATAGGAAATTCCTCGCATACGTATCGGGGAGTCGATGGAGTGAGAAAAAAAGATTGCCACTCGACTCTCGAAGGCCGTGCTTAACCATTACCTTCGGGGCGTTTTCTGGATAATGTGACCCATTTGCACGAAGTATGGCATCGCATAGGCGACCACCGGCTCCTCGTCCGTAATTGGAGATACGAGAAATTTCTCGAGGTAGGTTCGCCATCGTAACTGCGGCACTTCTCGTTGTAGCTCGCGCAACGTCAATTTTTTGTAGATGGCCGATGTGTCGTGTCGATCTGCCTCCGGAAGCGATGCCTGAAACCATCGCCATACTCCTTTAATTTATTTATAATCCTTGATAAAGTGATTAATTAATTAATTAATTAATTAATTAATCCGCTTGCTAAATCATTATCAACATCATTATTAGCAACAATCCAATATATCGTCTTTACTTTCAGCATTCGATTCTTACTTGCTTTCCCAATTATATCATTTTAACCCATTCTCTTGGCAACTCTACGTTACTGTAATTAAAACTTTTCCTTTCTACTTTTAAGCCCAAGTAGTTGAAAAATTAATTAAAAGCTCACTTATTTCCTTATTATTTGTTTTTTGTATTGTTTGTTTGTTTTTTTTTTTTCTTCTTTTTTTTTTTTCTTTCTTTAATACTTTTTTTTCTCTCAGTTTTTTCATACAATTAATGCACCCTTACTTCTTACATGCAATCTCAGAAGAAGAATTAAGTAGAAGAAGAAGAAGAAGAAGAAGAAGAAGAAGAAGAAGAAGAAGAAGATTTAAGTATTGCCGCAGAAGATCAAAGCAATGCACGTTATAATGTGTTTTTATTGACTGAACCCAAATAACTGAATCCAAAAATTTACATGAATAATTAAGCAAATATTTATCACATCATACATTAGCCAGTTCCTTTTCTAATGCGATCACTTTTTCAAATTCTTCCGATGCGTTCTTTGGATCAGCGCCCAGAAGTACGGCAACGTTGGTCATGTAACGATGATAAGCGAATAGCTGGATGTCACTGCTCTTCTTGAGATAATAGTCACGGCTTGGCAAAGCTAGTTGCATTTGGTCAAGCTAGAGTGTGAGATAAAAGATAAGCTATAACAATTATTGTCTATCGGATATCATTATTTATATTAAAAATTCATAATTACACCTTTATCACTCCCCGTTTCATATTCTACATATCTACATATTTCAAAATCATTGACGATGAGCATTAGTTTTTAATTGTCTTGCAATATTCATTTGTATTCTTCCCCAATAAATTTTCTTTTGAGGCGAAAATACTGTTTTCACATTACGAATATTACTTTATATTGATTTCACGTGAAAAATTGTAATTTAATAATGGGAATAAAGTTATTGAAAATCATTGTTATTCCTCGTACGGGTAATTCTATTAAATTCTGTAATTTATAAAGTTCTACGTAAAATTTTAACCAACGAACATCAAAAAAAAAAAAAAAAAAAAAAAAATAATCACGTATTCACGTTTATAACAAGATTATACGTTAAAGTAGATATTGAAGAAATGCCCTTCGAATTTCTAAATGCATTAATCGCCTATTACCATATAACTAATAATTTTTTAACCAAGTAAATAATAACTATTGCTTAATATTGCACACATGATAAGAATTTATTAATAAATATTACGTATTTGTTTAATTAATTTTTACGTTATCACTTGTTTTTAACCATAGATATATTTACAATACTTTAGTTTGGAAAATGTCAAGGAAAGCGGTAGGTTTTTTTAACGTCTAGTTAGTTGCCTATAACTTATACTTTGAAATATTTGCTTAAAATAGTCCATTTAATAGGCGACTACAAATATTTGTAAATAAATTAATCGAGCAGATTATTAAAATCATTCGCTATACTGCGAATAATATTATAAAGGACAATGCCAAGATTATTAATGCAGCACGATTCTTACGCTTTAACCCCCTACCTTATTATTAAAACTCATATGAAATATTTAAATAAGATGCGTTACAATTCACAGAACAGCGAACATTTCGTTTAATACTGAAGTGACAAAGTTTTTCAAGCGTTTAATAAATGTGCTCAAACTCTAACCAGTTTGGATGCATTAAAAATGCTTCATTAAAAACAATACGAATAATGTTGAATCGACGTTGTGTACATTGGGTGTGTGTGTGGGGGGGGGGGGGCGGGGGAGGAGGAGGGACGCGAGGGGAAGGCCGAGGAAGTCAGCAGAAATCCGTCGTTTCGGGATGAAAATGAAATGATGATCGGGGAGGGTTTGGTTGAGGCGAATTGGTAGATTGACGTTAAGAAAAGCCCTAGTCGACGGCTAAGGTCTTACTTTGCCGGCGCACCTGGAGGATGTTCGTGGAGGAGTTCTTGTCGTCGGGGCCGACCCACTGCTCGAGCAGAACGCCCTCGTTGTACTCGCCTCGCAGCGTTCCCAAGAGCTCCTCGACTGGATATCCCGGCTCTCGCCAGAGTTCACCCTCGACCGCTGGCCATCCTCCAAGCGAGCGGAGCCTCTCCCTCAGCGGCGCGTCTCCGATCTCGCGGATCCTCGCTGCAGGACAGAGCCGACGTCGTCGTACCGACGCTCAGATTAATCCGGCCGCCTTAGCTCTCCCCTCGCCTCGACCCTTCACTACTACTCCTCCTCCTCCTCCTCCTCCTCCTCCTCCTCCTCATACTGTCATCTCATTTCGTGAGCGGCACACGTCTTATCGCCCCGAATATCCTGCCGGCCGCGCTCATTTTCCCTACGCACGTGGCTTTCCTAGACTTCGTGCTCATACATTTCGCCAATAATTTAGTACTATTTAATCTGGCCAATCTCGACGTCTTATACGGCCTTGGCTACCTAAGGATAAATGCATCTTACCTTCGAACACACATCAACGGAATATCGTACTCTTACTACTTTTTATTACCGATACTCCGTCCACGCTAAATCATTGGTTATCTACATAAGAAAGCAGCGGATAATGGCAGTTTTACACCGTATTTTCAGTAATTGCTAGTTAAATTTCCTTAAAACGCATTTTAACGTTTGATGTGCACAATAAGGGAAACACGCGAATACTTTTCATTATAATTTCATCGCAATATCTTAAGTATGATTAGATTAAAGGAAATAAGGCACTTGTCAAGTCGCAATTAAATCCTCATATTTCTTTCAAATTTGACGAATAAGAAAATAATGAACAAACAAAATATCGACATTGTGTACGGAAATATAATAATGATAATTTATCATCCGTTGTTAAAATTTTAAGGTTTTTTTTTTTTTTTTTTTTTTTAAGGTACGATAATAATGATAATGCGTATAGTCATAGGAGAAGTGTTTAGTATTAGTCAACAAAATGACCAGGTATTTTCACAATAAAATGTCTGTTCTTGAATCGTTACTTCAGTAATGTAAAGAATTTTATTTTAATACCAATATAGCATTTTAACGAAAATTGTTGATTATACATGAAAATCGTATGCGATTCGGTTCCAATACACGATTGACATACGTATTAAAGCTTTTAAATGTTATATTGATTGATAGTGATATATTTGGAAACAAATGGTTGAATGTTGTGCAAAAATTCTGTGATTTGTATTATTTATATTAATTAATTTCACTCTCGAATATCCTCATCGGCGTACAAACATGCCAAAATAAAAACTTTCCATAACGATCGAATTTGTAATAAATATAAATACCACGCTTTATCAGTACGATGCAGTAGAAATCAATAAAAACATTGCAAATCAAAGAAACATAATAATATGCAATTATAGGATATCATTTACGGTTGATTAACGGTTAATTGAAGTAATAATATAAGTCGAGGAATTAAAGTTGTTCGCAGAAACGAGATCGATTTATGATAAATTATTTGGTTTATAAATGAATAAATGAAACGTAGAGTAGTAAAGTGCACCAAAGAGTACGAATAGACAAGAAATACTAAAAATTGCAACGGCAAAGCGGAATTAAGACTCGGAATAAGAACTCGAAGGATGCATAGAAAGTTTTCAAGTACAAAGTCCACAATCCTATAATATATAGTATTCCATGAAAATTTCATGAAATGTGTAAGAAAAAAAAAAAAAAAAAAAAAAAAATTAAAGTAAAAATTCATATCCAAATTAAGTTTATAATATTTATTAGCTTCTCAGTATTTATATTGCATGCCAATTAGTTAAACTGTATGAGTATCAAATTCGAAATAGAATATAGGAATAAGGAAAAGACAATAAAGATTTCAAATTAGAAAGGGAAAAAGCAAATAAAAGCACGATACAAGGTGATTGTTAACGAATGTAAATAACAATTTTAAAAACTACTTTACCAGTAAAAATAAAAAGTATACTAGAATAATAATAATAATAAGGAGATAAATTAAATGTGCGGATAAAATTTGTAGACATCTAAATTCAAAAGTTGATACGTGTAATAAAAAAAAAACTTGACGTAATAAAGTTAAAAATGTAAAGTTTAATTACGTACGGAAAATATAAAAATAATTTTTAACATAAATCTATAAATATGAGAATAACAAGTATGAAAGATGTTATTCATAGTTTTGGAAAATAAAAAATAACAAAAACATTAAAATAAGTGATAAAAAGTGTATTGTAAAATATTGATTTACGAGTGAACGCAATAGTAGAATAAAGTTAATTTAGTTAACAGAGGGGGGTGTGGAGTGTACATAAAGCGATAAATAAAAGATGAAAAAAGTGTATCGAAGAAAGAATATAATACATATAGCAAGTTACATCGTAGAAACAATAAACAATGAGAAAAATTCGGGCACATGTTTGCTTGTGTATTTTAGGTGTACAATATTATTAGGTGAAAGGAAAGCCGATTATACAATCTGTTATCTTCAATTATAATAATGAAGATGGAAATAAGATTAAGTTAAATTATACTTGTATTATATACACGATTTCGAAGATATAAATGGATATAAATAAAGATTCAAAGAGATTTCAAAGGAGAAATGAAAAGATTTTAAATATTCAGTAGTTAAAGCTAAAAGCCTAGAAAAGTGAGAGAAGATGTTTTGATGTAGAATAAAAAAATACAAAAATCCGATCGTAAAACCGATGATAAAACTATAAGAAAAAGATGTAATGGATAAAAATGGAAGGTAAATTTAAAATAGATATAAGAATATAAAATTTTTATCGATAAAAGAGGATATAAATACGATATAAATTCGGAAAAATCTGTTGTGGACAGCGTATACAAAGTATTACAATATGAGCGAGCGATAAGAAATAGAAGAAGAAGAAGAAGAAAAAAAAAATATATATATATATATATATATAGAGCGACAAAATATCGATAGAATGGCTTGTAAAAGATTTAAGGAATGAAAAATTTATTACAAAAATTTTAATAAAATATTGTATGTAGTAAAGTAAAGTTAGTTTCAATGAAGTAAAATAAGAAATCAATAATTTTATAAACAATAATAATGAAAAAAAAAGCATATAAAAAATAATGGCAAACGTAGTTTTTGAAATAACGATTGAACATTTTAATAATATTAAAGATTAAAAAGATATTAATAAGGCATAAATAATGGACACTGTATACGTAAAATGATAATTAATTTATTGTCCAAATCAAATTTATGAAATAAATTGTGTGTGAGCGGGTGGTGGTGAGGTGTGGAGATGGTGGAGGTGGTGGTGGTGTGGTGGTGGTGTGGTGGGGGGGGGGGGGAGTCGTCGAAACACTGATATTCAGAAACACTAAACAAAAAGAGATAACTATCTCTTTAGAAAGAATTCGAAACAATTTTGTTTTTCTTCCTTAATAAACGAGTGAATATCCGAATTATCCGAATTATATTAATAATATAAATAGAAATTAAAAATATTAGGCTAATAAAATTTCTTATAGTTTGGGAAGTGATTTATGTTAATATATTTTCAGCAAATCTCGCCCGAATTATTGCCTGTCATTAAATCTTTTATATTAATTGTTGATCGAGACTATCAAAGCTCGCTAATTAGCTCGGCAGTTCGCTTCGATGCACTTAGATAATAATAGGTCGTATAAATGGAAATTACGGTTAATTAAATTTCACGGACGAATGAGTTATTAATAATTGGAATAAATCTGCAGTAGTTGGATAGAGCGTTAATGTCAATAAATAAAGATAGATAAAGATAGAATAAAGCTTGCGAGACTGGCTAGAGGCTGTAAGTTTTAAGCTACTTTGTGCGAAATTTAGAAATTTCGATTGTCAAAGCGGCAGGAGGGAAGAACAATCATCGTTACATTCTCGATAAAATGCATTCGGCAAATTTCATTGTACCCACGGATGTCCATGCAGGACTTGTAGAAGAGCTTGGCCTTGAGGGTGGCATTGCTGTCGCCGTGCTCTGGCGGCTCCTCGAGCAGTCCTTTGAGGATCACTTGGAGCTGGTCGGCGAGAACCTCGAAAGTCGATACGGAGCTGCGGTCCTCCGGTATGACGTGTAGACGATTCCAAGTGCCGCAGGCGTATTGAAAGAAATCTGTGCACGGAGCTGCTGACCTGTCCATTGCTGACAGTAGACTTGCCGCTTTCCCGTGGAAACACACGGAGGGAAAGGTCAATGGCTTTTCCAATCACTTTAATTTTCACGCTCGTCAATTTTTCGAAAGCCATTTTATTCTTATCGTTCATCATTGTCGACTCTTAATTGCATTTTCGTACAATTAACCAGTACAGTTATACGCGAGAAAGGCTTGCAGGAGGGATACGTTTGTCAAAAATTTAAATATATTTTCATAACCATTTCAATCTTAGACACTCATATAATATTCCGTAATTTTTCAAACGGCACAGTTTAAATAAACATAAATTTGCAAGACGACAATATAACGAAATCTGTATAGAAGTAGTAAGTTTCTATTTTTTATAAAAATTGTATTTTCTTAATGTATTATATTTTTAAAATGCTTAAACCAAATTGGGTAATTCTTGTTTGGTCATTTTGAATTTCCGTTCGCTCCGTTCTGAATATATAATATATGATGATGATTATGAGCTGATGTTCATTTAAACTAAAGATTATTAAAAGCCCTTTAAACTAAATTATTAATAAATAATTTATCATTTTTGTAATTAACAGATGAACAATATCGAATGAATATTTTAAGGATTTATTGATTATTATTGTAATATATGTATAATTGAGAAATTAAAATATTAAAAGTGCAATTAATAAAAATTCACAATACGAATAGCAACTTTTATAATTCATATTTGTTGTTGTTGTTGTTGTTGTTGTTTTGTTATTCAGCTACTACAATTTATTAAACAATGGGCATTCCTAACGTTTAAAAGAATTAATTTTGCAACTAATTGTATAAAATGTATTTTAAAGTCATATATATACATTTATATAAACATATCAAATACAAATAACAATTGAGAATTTTGATTTAAAATTTTTCAAAATTATAAATAAATAAATAAATAAATAAATATATATATGTGCGTGCGTGTGTGCGTGTGTGCGTGTGTGCGTGTGTGCGTGCGTGTGTGTGTGTGGAACGCGGTAAATATTTCTTACCTGTTCTAACACATTCTTCGGTCAAACAAACATTTGGATCTGTAACACAAGATATTAAAGCACATGATTCAATTACAATACATTTTTTGTTTGCTTTTAATACTATATTTAATAATTATAGAAGTAAAAATTTATTAATCAGGTAAATGAAAATTTCAATATAATTATTTGAGTTTCTTAATATCTCAATTCAATATTATAATTTGAGTAATTATCATTTTATTTAATACAATTGATATTGCTGGATTTAGATATTTTATTTTAATTATACGAAAAGCAAATTCAGCATTAATATAAATTATAAAAATTTAAATAATTACATTTTATATGGAGTTTAATTTGGTTAAAATTTTATTTAAATCTATGTTCGTTAGTTAAATCCACGTATTTCTTCAAATTAATTTTTATTCAACTCATTAATTAAATTACTGCAATACAATATATTTTATATTTGTTAATATTTATCTACAATTTGCAATGGATAATATTTAATTTTTTAATCCATGCATAATATTAAATATTATTAATATTAATTTCCATATTAGAATGTGCGTATGAGTCGAATGATATACTTATGTTTTATATGATTATTTATTATTTTCGATAAATTATTATTTTTGAACAACGTACATTATAATTATAATGTCATGGATACCAATCATATGGAATTACATATTATTTTTGAAATTCTATTTGGAATCTTACTTTGTAAATGACATTATAAAGTATGAGCGGAAGGAATTTCAATTAAATTGCCTGTCTATTTGTAATTATAAATCTGTTTTCTATAAAACACAAAAATTTTTTTACTTGAAAATTCTATCGCTTTAACTTTTACAGTTAATATTTAAATTTATTCATAATTGCATTTATTTCATACTTTTGTGATAGTCGTATTCGTATCGTATTTTATATGTACGATAAAACGAATTAACTAGTAATTTTACTTTTCTTTGACTTTTCCAGAAAAATGTAACGTAGTAAATGGGATTGGTATAAAAACAATTTATTTACATATTATAAACACAATGATGGTTGGATTACAACATCATGTTCAAAAACTTTTCTATAAATATCGTTGAAAGGAATAATGGTTTTATTAAGTTATGAAATATCGTTTTATAAACCTTTTTACGCATCAGGGACTAATTATTTACGCAATTATTGTTATTAGTTGAATGAAATCGTTATATTGGATTGTTAAATTTGTTAAAGTTTTAATTGCGTCTGCGAAGCATAATAATATCAAAACTATAAGTTTGAATGAATGTCGTGCCGAGCCTCTATACATCTATTACATGAATAAATGCCTAATATTGAGCACAAAATGCTTTTTAAATAAATAATTATTTATTCCAATCACTTCTGAAAATATTTTATTTGACCCTTATGTGATTTTAAAATATTTCCAAAAACTATTTTATCCTTACTTATTCGCATTTAACGTTTCAATTTCATTTATATTATTAGATAAGTTTAATTGTTGGTTCAAAGCCAAACAATTAATTACAGTTATATTGTACACGACCGCTGTGAGCAATAATTTACAATGTTAATTAAATAATAATGTTGTATAATTAAAATAATTAACTATATACGATATGTTGCCGTTAGTCAACAATTTATTATGTCGCTACGTACAACTCAGTATAACTTAAAATTTGTAATATTTCAGTTTTTAGTTTTTATTTTATTACATAATTATTCTTAAATGCAAAATATTATTCATTTATCTTTAAGGATAATTTAATATATTAAAACATATTTTAATAACATATTTTTAATAAAATGTGTATCATTTATAAACTACGCGTGCTTATCTTTGCATAACAGTACGTGTCAATGTGTAAATTAAATATGTTTTGTTTTGTTGATATTGCAGTTGCGTAATATTTATCAATAATAATTATATAATCTTTTAACCGGAATATCGTAGTAAGTAAATGCGTAATATTTATGGTATATAATATCGTAATTGGGATATTATCTTGTGTATCCATTGAATATTTATTAGGTTTATTATAATTTTCAACTAATGAAGCATTAAAATATGTTTTATTCTAATTCGTTAATTTAATATGTCATTATACTATATATATATATATATATATATATTTACCTAATAATTGCATTATTGAATTTTATTTTCATCTACTTTATTAAGCTCGGATTAATTCTCTTTCCATCTATTGCATTAAATTGTAAATCTGACATAATATAACAACTATTTCTTATTCGCATAAACATATCTTTCTGTATATGCTACTAAAATACTTTTCTGTAAAAGTACATTACATTGATTATATTTTATTGAAAGTTAGGTACGAAATGATTTCATGAATTTTTTATGACGTGAGGGTTATTTTATTTTTTATTTTTTTTTTTTTTTTTTTTTTTTTTTTTTGCAAAAACGAAAACACTCTAAAATATTAATAATTATTAAAAATTACCCAATGAATTTGTACACAAATGATGTTGTTTTATTTCACATATACAGCACAAGTTTTAAATATCAAATTTTAAATAAAAAATTGCAAATGATACGTATTTCTTATAATTAATTTATGTTTTATAATAAGCACAGGTATTAATTACTTTTGTTGAAATTTCCTTCCAAGTTGAGTACATCTAAAAATACGGTTTTAGTAGCATTAATTAAATTTTCACCCATGCACTTAGCACACAACTAGATAAGGCAAAAGCTTTTTAAATGATTATTTACTATGTGAGAGAATGGAATTAAAGTTTTACATAAAATATTCTGATATCCTGACTTATTTATTATAAAGTATAGAAGAATCGCTGAATATTTGAAAATAAATTTTTATCTTCAAATCTTCTGAACTTCATGTAAATTTCATTTACATTCGTTCTACGTATTACAATTTTATTTTTAAATTGTTGTAAAAGTTTTTCAGTTTAAGCCTTACATAGATTTTATAAATATTGCATAAAGTTCCAAAGTCGTGCGGTGTGTTGACAAAAAAAAAAAATTAGTCAATAATCATGTGTGCTGCTCCCAAATCGATAGATGTTGTTAAAACTTGTTAAAACAAATCACGCTTTAAAAAATTTTTTTTTGACACGATTATGGTTTGGTATTTCAAAACTACTTTTAATTATGAATAGAGAAATTACATATCGTAGTTTGCGTTTATATAAAAGTTATATAAATTTTCTTTTTTATTCTGCTTGTCGTGTACATAGCATTTATACAAACTTTTTATAAAATTTTGATTATTTTATTATTATATGCTATTATTTTTTATTGCGTGTAGGTAAATTTTAATGAATGATTAAAAATATTTTTATTCAAGAATTTGAATTATTTAAGTATTGCTTGTTGTGCTTTTTTTGAGCTAAATGTGAGGTTTTTAAAGATAATTTTTAAAGGTGCATTCTTGTTCTTTTTATTTCATTAATATAATCAAGCGATAATATAACAATAAGCAATAATTATTTTATTGTCCATGATTTTAGTATATAATAATATTTATTGTAATACGCGTTTGCGTAATATACGTTTTAATAATTATTCTCTATTATAACGTAAGATAATGGCAAATCTGAAAAAAAAGAAAGATAATTTTCATTAAGTGAGAATCGAAGCTGAAGACAATACTTAAGGGTAGGTATCTCATAATTACAGGACGAAATTAATTTCTCACAAATATTATTGTTATAAGTGATTATAATATATAAAACACATATAATCTTTCTAAATAAACAGATGAGCATAGCAGTGATGTATTCGACACGCCGAGTGATCAAAATATTTGACCATTTGAACGAAAAGCCATAAAAATTCGATTAATTTTAATTAAAAGAAAACATTAAAATAATTTACTGAAAATAAAATTTTAACATGAAAGGATATTTAATGAAAAGGATGAGAAATTGACAGTTCTCGCTTGAAGGACAAAGGATTCTTTCCTTATTTTACTAAATGAAAGTTGGGATTTAATTAGAAATTTATCGATTTAATGAATTATTTTTAATAGCATGTCTATGTGCTTTACGTTTTTTTTTTTATCTCGTGAGTATTCTACGCCAACAAATAATGTTTGTAATGATTCCTTTATAAATTTGTATTAAAAAATATGCCGCAACCTCTAATGCCGCATACATCTAATTGAATGTAAAAATTTATAAAAATAATATTAAACTCGATTGTAACGTATAAAATTAAAGCTTGGCCGATCGTTAGATTTTTATTTTCATGATGAATAAAACCTTACATAATAAATGGTTTGCCCATATTTGACGTGAATTATTTATTTATTATCTTAATGAAATTATATAATGTAATTGTTCTATTATATCTATCTTTCTATTCATTTATATTACAATTTTTTAGAAAAATTTAGGTGTGCATACTCAAATTCTTAAACCAATGGGTTTACTTAATTGGAAAATATAAAATTAATTTTTTATAAATCTTCATTATGTTTGGCACGATATTTGTTATGCTCTTATAGTGTTATTGACTACTACTATTTGTGGTGATAGAAAATATATAAATTGTTAATAAATTCTTTCAATATCGTTGATGAATTAAAAATTTTCGATTATTTTAATTCGATATATTGGCTAATATTAAATTTGAATTAATTTTATTGAAATACTATTAAATTATAATATATAGGATTAAAATTGTAAAATGTAATCGATTTTATTACGCAATATTAAGAACATAAATTTTTTTTTTTCTCTTTTTAATAAAAATGCATTGGCACTCAACTTTAAATAATAGTTTTATTGTTTTGAAAAATAAAATTTTTAATTTATTGTTATTCATAAAACCATTTCTAGATAACTAACTTAAACTGTATCTGAATCGTATATTTTGTCGTAGTTGAATCATCAATAAAATTGTGTTACTGCACTTCTGAATTAATTCAGTTTAATTGATTCTGTTGGACTTATGTATGAACTGGATAACCTCGATCGACTTTCTCATATTTCGTTCAACATTTGAGACGAAATCTCACAAATCTATAATTCATCAATATTTGGTATATGACAATTTTTTTTACGTA